ATATTGTTGAACTATTGTTTATATAAGCCAATTTTAGAAATATTACAACAGTAAGTATGCAATAAATAATTTTACTTATGATAAATGAATTTGCTTAAATTAAGAGTTCTATTAGTTGTTTTTATGATTTTTACCAACATTCAATTTCTGTATCGGTGAGTAGTGTGATATTCTTACTAGATTAGTGTAACTCACCAATTCATTAATTATTTCAAATCAAGAAGACTAAGATTCATATTCAGATCAATAAGGGAATTGTGAATAATTCACCACCCAGATTTCTTCAAAAGCTAGTGAATGTCGTTTTAAGATACTTAGTTATTTACTTTTCGTTTATTTCTTTAATTTTTGTTTATTCTTTTATAAGAAATATTCTCGTAATACTATTTGATATTTTAAATTATTGTGTAAGAAATGTAAACTTTAACTCTATTTCTTTAATTTTCATTTGTTCTTTTATATGAAATATTATTTCTTGTAATACTATTGAGTATTTTAAACTATTGTGTAAGAAATGTAAACCTTAATTATATTTCTTTAATTTTCGTTTGTTTTTTTATAATGAACATTATCGTAGTACTATTGAGTATTTTAAACTATTGTGTAAGGAATGTAAATGTTAACTCTATTATTTCGTTTCCGCATTCATTTTATGATTTTATTTCATTTTAAATTCTGAATCGTTATGTAATTAATAATTTACCATTTTAAATTAATTTTTAGTTAATATTATGTATAATAAGTAATCTAGACCATGAACAATTTGATAATACATAATAAAAAAAAATGAACAATGTAATAATAAAATATTTATTATAATTTAATTTATGATATTTATTTATTTATTTTAATATTCAATTTTTTCTTTTTTTAATAAAAAATTAAAATATTAAAATTTGAACTTAGTAAATTAATTAAATTAATAAATTAATTTTTTTGAAAAAAATTATCACTACAAAAACCTCAAAAAGAACTATGAAATTTTTTTTATATACTAATATTATAATATATAATTTCTTAATTTTTTTTTTTGTTTTTAAAGAAAATAAATTAAAAAGATAGCGAGGGTTTGAGAGCGTGCATATGCCTGAGGTGATTGATTGACGGATTAATCTCTGACTGGAGCCCGTTTTGCAGCCACCAAACCTCCAACGGGCGACTTTCTCACTACTCGCTCGAATAGGAAAAACAGAACACTCGCTCTGTTCAATCAGCACGTATCATTTACCTTGACCAATTCTTGGACTATCATAAAAGACGCGCGTGGGAGAAATTTTCCACAAGGGGACCACCTCGCACGAAGACCTAAATTGCTATTGCCACTCCCCTTTTTTTTATAAAAAAGATTTATTTAAATAATAAATACTAATATTTATTTGTTTAAAATATATTTAATCAGCAAGGAAATTTTCCCTTGCTTAGTTTGCCAACCGTTGAGAAAAAACACATGCTTGTGCATTACGTGAGTCAATGAAAGATGTTGATGTTCGTGTTAATTTATGGGATCCAATAATGTTATTTTATTATATATATATATGTATATAATAACATTCAATATAAATCTTTGTTTGTTTATGTGAATATATATATATATATAAAGAGAGACGATCAAGACCCTCTATGTTTTTCAATTTGAAAGATTCCAATTGAAGCACACAAAACTCAAAATTTTAGGGTACCCCACATGATTTTTTTTTTATTAATAAAAATAATTTACATCTATAGTGTCTGTATAGTAAAGTATTTATTAATTTAGATTCATATCTATTGATATTAATACTTTATATTATATATTATATACTATATATTATATACCCGTTACAAGTCAAATTTAGATGCCATCATGCCAATGCTTCCACGATTATGCTTAATAATTATATATATGCGTACCCATTTCGCTTGACCCAAAATAAAAATAAGGAAGATGCATTAAAAATTAAATTCCCTCTACATATATATATATATATATATATGTTTCATACATGATATTGTTGCTGGTTGGGGGTATATCTATGGCAGCACAACACAAGGTACGATTGTAGTGAACCTATCAAGCATATCCTATAATAACATTAATGGTCCGTCCATATGGGACCATGAAATCTAATAATTATGGAAAAATCAATGCGACATTATAAACAAAACATATATATATATGTATTTATATACACACACACATAGACATATAATGCACACTTTTTTGGTGAGATAAATGGTATACTTTCTTGATGGACGAATTAATAGAATACATATACAATAAAATATGTACACACGCACACACATATATGAATAATAATTTTCTTACATCAAAATATAATTTAATCTGAAATTTTAAAATTATATCCCATTATTGTAGCAAAAAAAAAAATTTTGACAGTATGATGTACGCTTATTTCCATATATATATATATATATATATATATATATATATATACATACACACGCACGTAAAGACATATATTGAACAAATATAATATCGTGATGAGTGTATGAAATAATATATATAGTTATATATTAAGATTGTAAGATTGCATGTTATGATATCATGAATCTACTTGTGTACGCAATGTGGCAAAATCACATACACATACAACACACACACGCACACACATATATATATATATATATATATCTGAAATTAATTAATTAAATCCCATCATGCTCATTAAAGAGGAAACCTAGCTAAGCCTGTGTTTACTATATGTATAGGCCTATATAAACATAATGTTTCCTGAAGTGCTGAATAGAAGAAAGTACATACTACATTACTATTTCTCTTTATAGAATTCATCATAATACAATCTTAGCAAGTCTAGTTAAAAGCATAAATATATAGGACCAAGAAACCTTGAACAAATTTCTTTTCTTTTTCTTTTAAATTTTTATGTAGTATATAAATATATGTATATATGTATTTTCCATCAAGGGAACCCTCCACTGGAGCCTTAGTTCTCTACCCATGTGTCCTTTAGCAAATATATATATATATATATGTAAGAAGGTGAATTTTTCTTGGTTAGCCTATTTTTTCTCTAGTTTGCACAGTGTGTTAGTAGTAGCTATGATGCGTCAACCATTGATGAACAGGACGATGGCATTGATGAGTCAGTGGCGCCTATAGATATAGCTATATAGTCAGTCTCATTGAGCACCTGATCAGATAATGTTTAAGGACAAAGAAATCTGGGTTCAATGGGCCCATCAACATGCTTATTATCACTATTTACCATGTCTAAATTATATAGATAGTTAGGTACAATATATATATAAATATTTATCATATCTAAATACTATATATAGGTACAATATATATATATATATGTATGTGTATATATGATTCGCAACCACACAAATTCCATGAAATGAGATGATATGTTCTTCTTCATGACAATGATAAACAGTCTTTTGCAGTTTGGTCCTTTTCTTTTTTCCTTCAAAACTGGATGATTTGTCGGTTTATTTGTATGCCATAATATGGCTGGTGATCTATTCTTACCATCTCACACCCAACCATTTTATATCGATATATATATATATATGTATATATTTACAGAGACAAACATCCTATGTGTGTATATATTATAGGAATGCATGTATAACGGCTCTCCAGCAATTTGACTTAAATGCAAAGATTTTTGGTGCCTTGAGACTTGACCTGGTCTCTTCAATTTCTACAAGGCTTTTTGGATTCATAAAATACGTTGATGTATAAAATTATCATATATACACATATAAATAATAGTGATCACATACATATATATATGATTGTATGTATATGTTTACTTGGGTGAATGTCTATATTTTCCAAATTTGTTGGTATGTATTGAAAATTGCACTTAAGTTGAAGCCAGCCAGTTAATTAGTTAAGTATATATATATATATATATATATATATATATTTATCTTGCCAGAGACATAATAAATTAGTGTGTGATTTGGAAAATGTCACCATTAATTGAAAGGCATGTGGCTATCAATTTCATCAACAGCCTTTTGTTGTGTTTCTACTTGTCTAGACTTTGGATGCTTAATGGATATACATATATATACACATACATACATAAATAGAGATATATACATATGTATATGTATACCTACAAGCAAAGACTGAGAAAGGTTTTACTTGAAAAACCATGACATAAGACCTTTGAAACACAGAAAGTTCTACTATAATTGGCTTAGTTTAGCTTATGATATATATAGCTAGCTACTTACATATATATATTGTCATGTGTGTGTATATGTATATATATATATGTAAAGAAAAAAACAAAGAGCTAGAAGAAAACTGATTGAACATCCCTGTCACCATTTTGACTTATGTGTTATCTCCCTTCCTAATTGAATATATAAAACAAAACCAAATTTTCATTTTCTTATTTCTCTCTTTCTTTCTTTTTATTTTATTTTATTTTCAAAAAGCCAAGTATATGTTTATATTAAAAGGAAGGAGATGGCATAAGTCCAAAAACAAAGGTCATCTAGAAAGTGAGAGCTAGCTTTCTCTGTGTTTTGGTTTAGAGGTGTAGAGAGAGAGAGAGAGAGAGACAGAGAGAGAGAGAGATATGGGGAGAGCTCCTTGCTGTGACAAGGCAAATGTGAAGAAAGGGCCATGGTCACCTGAAGAAGATTCAAAGCTCAAGGATTATATAGAAAAATATGGAACTGGAGGAAATTGGATTGCTCTCCCACAAAAAGCTGGTAATTATATAGTAAACCCTGAAAACATGGGATCTCTCTATTCTTCTTCGTCTCCTTTCATGAAATGGCTTGGTTTTATTTTTATTTTTTGGGTTTATCCTTTGATCTTCTTCTCTGAAATGGGTTGGTGTTATTATTATTTTTTTTTTGGACTTCTTTTTCTCTGAAATGCGTTAATGGTATTATTTTAGTTAATTATTCTTCTTATTCTTTCGTTAAATGGGTTGGTTTTGTTTTCTTGGATTCCTACTTTGATCTTCTTTCTTCTTCCCTAAATTTGGTGTTATTTTGATTCTTCTTCTTCTTCTTCTTCTTCTTCTTTTTCCTTTTCTTCTTTCATGAAATGGGATCTTTTCTGAATTCCTTGGTTAATCTTCTTCTTCTTCTTCTTCTTCCGTGGGATGGGTTTTTGTTATTTTTCTTGGAATTTTCTTCTTCTTCCTTTGGAATAATTAATGTTTTTTTGTTTGTTTGTTTGGATTTAGGTTTAAAGAGATGTGGAAAGAGTTGCAGATTGAGATGGCTCAACTACCTGAGGCCAAACATCAAACATGGTGAATTCTCTGATGAAGAAGATAGAATAATCTGCAGTCTCTTTGCCACCATAGGTAGCAGGTACTGTGTACATACATATGTATGCGTGTATATATATTTATATACACACACTCTCTCTTGTTAATTTAATTCAGTCTAATTTTCTAGCTTCTCAAAAGAAAAATTAATTCATTTTCTATTTATTCTTTTCTCTTTCTTTCCCACTCTTATTTTCTTGACCTAAAATTTCAAAAGAATCAAAATGGGTATCATTGCTTTCCATTTTTATCCCAATTACCAACTGTTATGAAGAAAACAATTGATGAAATCTACCTATAAGGAGTAACAAAGAGGAAAGAACCTGTTCTCTTTAATTTTTTCCTCTCTTTCTTACCTTTTATCAAGATTTTCAAACCAAGAATCTGCTATTTTTGGATAATTCTTCTGCATGCATGTCAAAAGATAATTAGATCCAGGCGTATATTAATTATATATATAACTTAAATACATATGTGTGTGTTTTTATGTATTTATATATGTAATATTGTTGACTATAACTGAGGTTCAATTTTATTGTTGCAGATGGTCAATAATAGCCGCTCATTTACCAGGAAGGACTGATAATGATATCAAGAACTACTGGAACACCAAGCTGAAGAAGAAGCTCATGGCTATGGCGGCTTCTCCTAATTCTCACAGGAAACCTCCATTGCCGTCTTCCCTTCAAGCTCCTCCTCCTCCTCCACCACCATCACCACCATCATCGTCATCACTATACAAAGATTTTTACAGTAGTTTCTATACCAACTCAACTAAATCTTTCAGTGGTACTGGTCTTGAATTGCCCATAATTAATCCAAATCTAATGTTGAGCAACTCTAGCTCAGCTAATTCTCTCCTCCAAAACCAAGACCAGAGCTTCCTGCTCAGCTCCATGCAACAATCTTACTATCCTAATGTCAAAGATCAGAGTAATTTCCTAGTGTTTGGGAGTGATCAAACTGCAAGTTGTAGCTCATCTGATGGAAGTTGCAGCCAGAACAATATCAGCAATGGACCAAGAGAGATCAAGCAAGAAGATCATCATCATCGGAGCTTCATGTCAAATGGGTATCATCATCATCATCATCATCAAGATCAAGATCATCAAAAGTACAGCTTGCTGTTGAAGAACATGAGCTTAGCAAATTATAATAATAATTGCCAGTACTGGGCTGATCAAGATAAGAATCAAAATTTTAATGGAGAAGAAAGCAGATTAGATTATGGTGATGTTGATCTTGATCAAGATGTTAAGCAACTGGTTAATAGTAGTAATACTGTTTACAATGATGATAATAATAGCAACAACTACTTCTTCTTCAACATTGATGAAAACAAGACACAGCAGGAAGCAGGAGATGATGAAGAAGATCAGAAGGTGATGATGTACTTCTACAACTACTGATATATATTATTCATGGAGGAAGACTGACTGTAAGTAAAATCAGTGAGATTTGATGGGGTAAGGGAGTAGGGATGGTGGAGAGATCAGATCAGAACATATTATTATGCATTATATAATATATATATATATTAATATATTTATTTCAATATATCTCAGAAAAGACTTTCAGTTTCTGGGATTTTGTGTTTTGATGAAATCAAACATTTCTTCTTTCGACAGTACATGTTAAAAAAAAAAAAAAAAGCACCCAGAAAAAAAAAAAACAAGCACAGAAAGCTTTTCATTTTGTGCCATGATGATGTTATAGGTTGTACGGCCCTATCTCCCCCATTCAGGACTCATTGTTATGAAAACTAGAGTGATCAAGAAAACTTAAAACTTACTTACACAAACACACACACACACACATATATATATATATATATGTTTGAATAAAGAAAGAATCAGTAAAAAGTAAAATTAACCCAAATTAAGAAGTTACTTTTTCAAAAAGAAAATTTGAGTAATTAATTTTTACCAGTTATATAGATTGAATTTTCTGGCATGCAGTGAATATTTCTTGAGCACCTCTGCACCTCCCCTATTACTTTATTCTTCTGAGCAGTATCAGTGAAAGACATTTATACCCCTATGAATTAGGGCTTAAATTTCTAACCCTAGCATTAAAGGAAGGGTATTAGTGGTATTATATGTAGGGGTATAATATATACGAAGCACCTCAGAATCTTTTTAGGGCTGGAAAATTTTCTTTTTTTTTTTTTAAAGAAGGAAAAGAGATGATGGTAGAAAACTTTGGAGGCTTGTGAAGGCAAAAGCTTTTGAAAAATATGGGGAACTGATATAAAAATATATAGTAAAATCTCAGTATCTTAAGACTTATAGAAGAATCCACCATTTGTAATATTATAAAAATAGATAAAAGTTAATTTACTATATTGTTCTATATTATATCCTATTTCTATGTGGAAAAATTTGGTTTAACATTAACTATGCTTTTTTTTTTTCTCTCTTTTTTATAAACAAAGAATCAGTTTTTAATTTATTAGAGTTAACACAACTAACGAAACATAATCGTCATGAAATGTCTTTTTTTTGCTCGTAAAGATGATATATTCGTGACGTAGTCTAATTTATTTACTAAAGTACCAACAATACACTAATAAGTTAAGTGTTTGTTTCACTTAAACATGACGTTGTATATCTGGACTCGCTTAATCTGACATATTCGAACCCTATTCAATATGATTTTTTTTTTTTTTATTTATTTAAGTGCAGATTTAGATCAGACTGAGTTCAAGTTAACGGGAAAAGATGATATATTCATATCACAATTCTAATTTATTTACTAAAGTAACATCGATACGCTAATAAGTTAAGTCGTTTGTTTCACTTAAACATGACATTGTATATCCGAACTCGTTTAATATGACATATTCGAACCTTATTCAATATGATTTTCTTTTTTCGTTTAAGTGCAAGTTTGGATCAAGTTGGGTTCAAGTTAACAGGAAAATAAGATATACTCATGACACAATCTAATTTATTTACTAAAGTATCACAAATACATTAATAAATTAAGTCGTCTGTTTCACTTATGTATGACATTGTATATCCGAACTCGCTTAATTTGACATATTCGAACGTTATTTAATATAGTTTTTTTTTTCTGTTTAAGTGCAGGTTTGGATCAGGTTGGGGTTCAAGTTAATAGGGAAAGAGGGGCAAGACGATGCAAGTTTGAGTTTGACTTTCCAGAACTCGTATGAACCTAACCGTATATATGTAATTAGTATATAATATTATATATACTAATAAGTATATTTTTAATTTTTTATTAATATAAATACAATTATATTTATAATAAAATGATCAGATCAAGTTTAGAACAGCTAAATTGTAAACCCGTATACAATTCAAAAAATAAAAAATAAAATCCCTATAGAATTATTTTTTCGTAGAGATAGATCGAATAAATTTTAAATTTGTGACGTTCAGTAAAATACAATAATTTTAATCGTTAGAATACATTCTCTTAGATTTTTTTTTTAAAAGAAAAAGCATTTAACTTTGTTTCTATACGCATCATGATCATTTTTTTCAATATGATACAGTGACATAATTAATCAAATCTATAAATTAATTTTACACAGTTCATTAAAACCATGGTAACATACATGAATATTTTATAATTTACAGGAACAATTATAAGTCTATATAAGTATTGTGTATAGAATACACACGTATATAAGTAGATAATCAACAAAAGAAGAACAAAAACAAGAATGCATTAAGGTGTCAGTATGCATAGAGATTTGTAGTCAGAAGATGATCAGCAATCTGCCATTTTTTTTTTTACATTCTCAAGTATATATAATTATGATTTACTGAAGAAGGTGAGGTGAAGAAGAAACCGAAGAAGGTCGTAGCCTATAGGTTTGTGGCATGAACTCACAGAGAACTGATATATATATACATACACACGCACAGACGCACACACACACACACACAGACACAGACATACAAATCTTTTATATAAAAATCATGGTGATTTGATGCATTGACGGTCTTGCAAGAAACATAAAGGGTCCCATTATAATATATATATATATATATATATATATGTATATGTGTAATAACTTTGGAACCCAATAGCATACTTATGATTGACTTTTACCTAGTGGAGGTCTTAGACTTGTTGAATCAGTATAGATAAGATCGATTAATTTAAAGGATATATAAAACCATAAAAAAAAATGAAGCCAAAAAGAAAAAAAAAACCAAAGGAAAAAAATACTTTGTATAAGAGGAATCCTAATAAGAAATCTCATAGATACACTGACATATATATATATATATATATATATCATCTACATATTATATATACATATATATATTCACTTGTAAAAAGGGTCCGTTGGGTTTGGCATATGTTGGATAAAAGTAATTAGGGTTTTTTGATTGGTGTTGCAGGGAGGAAGAGAAGGAGAAAGAGAAGGTCAATAAGCAATTGAATTTTTTATTTTTTTAGTATTGGAAATAAATTTATTTTCAATATTTATGTATATATATATATATATGTTTGTATGTGTGTATGTATGGGTTCCAATTAGATCAAAAGTATGGCAGCTATTTTATGTACTTATTAATTAATTTTGTGTTTTGATTATATCATATTCATGTAGACTAAGGAAAGCAGTAATGTCTTTTCTAGTGAAGTCTCTGAGTCAATGGTGTGGAAACATACTGACAGCCTGATACATCAAATTATATTCAATTTTATATAATTAATTCTAAAAATAAATTATAAAATTATTATTAATTATCTTTTTTTCCCAACTAATCTTAATTATATCTGTTAATTCAAGTTATAATTTTAGATTTATATTTGACACAATATTATATCTTTTAGTACGTCGTTACGAAATAAATTAATATTTTTTTTTGTGGGTATTCTTAATTCTCTTTTTATCTCTTGAATCAATTTTTCTCGAACTCTCAGTCAATTTTTCGAGTTGTAAGACACGTTCAAATTTGATTTGATATGATATAATCTTGGACTACATACATGTAATTACAAAATAGATGATGAATTATAAGCAACAAAGTTTGAAAATTCAAGTAACCAACCAACTTTGAAACAAGTCTTGAAATCAATCTGTCACCAACATTACATATTTGAATTTTGAAGGTGTTAAAAGAAAAAACTAATGGGTTAAATTATATATTTATATATATATATATATATAATTTAAAGAAATGTGTATATACATCACTTCCTCTTTAAAAGACTGTAAATTCTAGTACATGTATATTTTTATTTGTACATATACAAGTTTGAGGGTCCATCATATCACAACATTATTTGAGATAATTTTCTAACATTTTATAATAATTTAATTTATTATAAAGTATTTTGTACACAATTGTCAATAATTGTATATTAATTAATTAATTAAATTAAATGTGGGTGTTGGTCATGAGGGATTCAATGCATTGACTGTCTAATCAAGAAAAATTGTAATTAACTTTACATAATCTTATTTTTTTTGAAACCTAATGGCACTTGTAATTGACTTGTAAGAAAGTGGATATTAGTTTATGAACTTAAATAAAATAAAAAGTTTATCCAAAATTATACAAATCATATTAGAAAAAACATATGTATATATATATATATATATATATCCAAGTTGACCTTTATCATCTAGGATTGTAGGAGTTTGACTAAGTGATACCTTTAGGCTGATAATTGTCCAAGATTCTAGAAATCCAGTTCACAATCACAAGAGGATGAAGAGTTGAAACCCACCAAAACATCTACTTCATTCACCAGTTCATCAACCAAAACAAGCTCTATTGGTTCAATGGAGGAAAAAAAAAAAAAAAACAGGTAATCTGCCAAATCTACTAGTTGACATAACATGCCAGTCTTTCTTGTTTTATTCATTTATAAGGGTAGAGAACACACTGGAAACAGTGAGTTCCGAAATTGAAACTTATATACCGTTGTATGACACAGACGAAGGCATTACTATATAAATCCATAAATGCATTCCAGCTGGAAATTCAATGAAGTTCGCCACGATGCATGAGTACGCTCTTGTTTTTCTGCATCAAAACCAAACATTTCTTATTTTTAACATTGATGTCAGTACGTGAAACGGATAACAAGAAACAATCATAAAAAAAGACGGGGTCGAGTATCCAGCGTTGCAAATTCATCTACTCTTTTATTGTGTTTGATTTGATTCTCATCCGATTCCTAATATTGTTTCTTACTGGAGACTAAGAGAACCAAAACTAAAAACTGACTAGTGATGGAATGAGAATTGACTCAAGAGCATCCTTATAACTATTCATGCTCACTTTTTCTGCTCTTCAAACATACAACTATTGGTGATTAGCTTAAAACATGCTAAACATCTAGCAGCACCAGAGGAAGAGCAACTGCTAATACAGGGCTATAAAACTCAATTGGGTCTCAAGCCTATGAGCAGGCTTTTTGACAGTTTGATTTATTATCAATTCAAGTAATATGCTAAAAAAAGACACAGCAAATTATTTCGGCAAGATAAATTTCAATGGTTATCCCCATCATAAAGACAAATTCCTACAAGTCATTATTATCTTCTGGTTGGTAAAATTATGTCTGTCAAACAGGAAGGATGGTCCGAGAACCTTTGTCCAGTGGTTTGAATTTGATAGGGCACAATCAACATACCCCTAAAAAGAGAGATGATATCACAAAATTTCCAATATTTCGGTAATGAAGTGCCAGTGTAACTGCTTTTCTTAATTGAGTATTTGGTTGCTTAAAAGAACACATCTACGTTTTGTTAAATTCACAAGGTTTGTAGAATTCATTCGTAAAATTGCGCTTAGATCAAATACGAGATAATACAAATTCTATCAGAATATGATAAAACTGACTTGATATATAATTTACGAGAAATGAACTAATACATTCTAAATTCTATCAAAGTGGTAGCATTTAAAATATATTTGTACTGATTCCACATGACATCAATCTTTCACTCCTTGTAAAGATGATTATCACTATCATCTAGTTAAACTAAGAGTGTATTTGCAAACTGAATCCCTTAAAATTTTTTAATTTGATCAAAACACAGCCTCAGGCAAGGTCGTCCCTTCATTCTCTTTCAAGCATATTTTGCCTTAGACAGGGGAAGTGTATGCTCCAAAGTCATGCCATGAAAAACATACATATATATGATAATTATTAAAAGCTAAAGGAACCAAAATAAGTTTGTTGTTGCTTTGATCGATAATCAAAAGAAATCAGCAATAAGGAACATAAAGAAGGGAACTAGATCACTTTACATCTGTGTGACATCGCCTCAAGTAGCAGCGCTGGTTACTCTCCTAATATTCTCAAGGTCAAAGATTTCAATCCAATAGCCATCAGGATCCTTAATAAATGCTAGCCCTTTCATTTGTCCTGCAACCAGTTCAATTAATTTTAGGCAATCAATTGAATTACACAGTTAAAGCACAATTTTTTAGGATAATTTTCAAATTGATTAAAAGGATCACCAGTTAATTGTGTCCATAATAAAAAGAAAACGGAAAGTTTTCACCACGATAGCTAGAGAAAAGAGAGAGAGATGTAGAGGAAGGTGATATCCGGTAGCAATTGTTCATCAGCCAATTAGATGAAAAGGGTAACTAAGAATAGAAAGGTTCCTTCTTGATTCCTCTGCCATGGAAGCAGAAAATGTAATTGTATACGAGGAATTGACGATTGGACTGGTCAATGAAGTCTCCAATGCACGCTACATATGCCTGCATTCACATGGAGACAGAAGAGAGAGCAGGAGAATAGAGAATGAAAAGAGTCCTACATTATGAAAACCTTTCACCCATGTGCCAAGATACATGAACTCAGTACAGTACCAGTTGCCAGAAGGAACAGCCTTAATTCCACAAAGAGGCATGGAAAGAGAACTGATTCTCGAAGCCATAGCATATAAACAAAGAATATTTGCTTAGAGGAGGTATGTCAATACCAAAAAGAGGCTTGAAAAGGAAACTGATTCCCGAAGCCATAGTTTATAAACAAAGGGAACTGAGGTTTCTTTTGTCAAAACATGGGAATGAAGTCATGGTCATAAAATATAAATCTTGATGTGATTCATTCTCCGTCATCTAAATGAAGTCCCTTACCATCATCTGGTTTTTTAACAAACTCCACGCCCAGACGTTCAAACCTCTCACAAGCCTTGTATGTATCATCAACGGTGATGCCGATATGTCCTGAATATAAAAAGTAAAAAGTTTGTAATTCACAGTTTGAACACAATAAGTCGTATGAAAGCAAAAAAATCGAAAAGCGAAAAATATAAAAACGTAGCTAACAAAAGGCACTATTTTCAGTTAAAAGATGTGGGAGTAAAGAATCAATAAGTAACAATATGCACTCAATTGATTATTAGTTCTATTATCACAATAAACTAAAATTTTGAACTTGGAGTAGGAACGAAAGACAAAATATTAGCTAGTGTTTGATGAAATGAAAGAACTGAACAATATGGAATTAAGCAGGACAGTATAGGGCAAGACACGATAAAAACAAAGTGTTTAGTACATATGTGATTGGACAGAACAAGTTTGTTCAGTTTTATGCTTGGTAACTAAGGAACAACACAAAATATGATGTACAATTACTAACATATCCTTTACATTATCTTACGTATATTATATACAATAATATACTAAATAAGAATTATATTATTTTTAATAATAAGAGCAAAACTTTAACTAATTTTTAACTCAGGTAACAATTCTTTCTGACAAAATATCACATTATTTCATATGAATAAATTGTTCTCACAAAAAAAAAAAAAAAGTAAAGTGCACTAAATGCACTCAAGACTTAGGAGAAAGGAGGTGAGGGTAGAACAAAAATGAGTTAAGTGATTGTTTTGAGGATATTTTCAAAACTTAAAAAACTGAGTTTCTAACAACTTGCAAATAACTTTGTCTCGCTAAAATGAAGGAACCAATTTGTTCCTTGAATCATGGTTTTTTTTTTCTACCACTAAAGATAGGACTTGATTGTTTTGTAATGTCCAGTGTATGATAATCGTGATAAACACTACCTAAATATCACCAAATGTGTATAATAATCCTTCTTTATTTCTAGACAGCACCGGAATCATGTAGATTCCCCTTTAGGTCCATCACTTTTTGTTCCGGGGACAACTACAACCGAACAGTGAACCAAATCTTTGGTGTGTGTGCATGAGAGTGTGTCTGTGTAAGGCACCAAACCCATAAAACTTAAACTAAAAACAATACAACTTCACATGCCAAGACCAGACTACCAATTTTATTCACCAGCGAAAGTCTTGAAAATAATCAGAAATACTCTTGCAAGCAACAAAACCCACATTCTTAAAGCAGTAAGGATATAGCAAATCAGGAAGATTACTTCTAAACCTGCTATAGCGTAGTATTGTGTACTATTCGATAAATTAGGCCATCAAATTGATGGTCCCAACCGCCAGAAAACAGTCTCTATATGAAGCAGCACAAGCTTAAAAGAAAGATTTAACTGTCATTATTTATTTTGAAGGACACAAAACAGAATCACAAAACATGCACCATATCATATTTATATTCATGAGGAAATATCACATACCAAATCCACGAGGTTCTGAATTCCCATTGTGATATCCTTTAAACTCAGGATCGCTTTCAGTGCCCCAATTACTGCAATAAGTATTCATGCGTTATAAATCTAGGCAACATGACTTACAAGAAAGATGAATTACTAAGAGACTGAAAAGCACATTAGGAAGATGAACAATCCTTACTGTGTTAGTTCAATTGTAGCCTTCCTTCCAAATGTCCAAACTGTTCGATCGGATGGGTCAGTCGGAGGCGATGAAGGATCCTAAATAAAAAACATTCCAAAGCTCAATAAAAACACTCAAGAAAGAAGATATAAGAAGTATTGCTAGCCAAACACACAGACCAGAAATGGAGTTCTATAAGAAGATAGAAGAAGTGTTTATGTGTTATATTTAAGTACTTTACCTCGTAGCCCATGAAATACAAGCTAAACTTCATGTCAGGGAAATCCAACCTCTTCAATAACCTGGAAAAAATAAAGATAAAATCCATTAGTTTTCATTGAAGAATCTATTAGTTACTTGGTATAGAATGCAGAAAACACAGAGATATTAACTTACGACATTCCCAACACACGAGAGTAAAAATCAAGACTGACTTTGGGATCCTTAATTCGAAACATCTGTCATAAGAAATCAAACTCCGTAAACATATACTTACACATATATATGTATAGATTTATATGCCCAGATATACAAAGTAACAGACATAACATTAAAAAAAAAAAAAGAAACTTACAGTTTGCTGCATGATATATCCATTGGTAGCGTCATCAGGGGTTGTGCAGAGACCAGGATTGTTGGCAGCCGATTCTTTTTGTTCTGACGCCATCGAGAACAACCGGAATCGATTATTATCCTGCAAAATCACCAAAACCCAGTAATAAAAACACAATCTTAGAGTTCACCAATCGGGCAAAATCAATCTCGAGGAACTATCATTGCATTTGATGCTTGAATAAAACCTTTGATCTAGTGTTGGTAAAAAAGAATGAAGATAGTGAAGAAGAGTAGGGTTTGGCGAGTCGAATTAGAGGAGAGAAACGAGATAAGGTAGCTGTCATTACTGAAAGGGAAGCCATTTTTCACGAGGAGAACAGAGAAATTTTTACCTTGGTGAATACAAATCAGAGTGAGTTCTTTTTCTGGGTAGTCTTCCAGAGGGTCGTTTGGTTTCAGCCTTTCGATTCAGGTTCCAGGATTTGATTTGTCACGTGCCTTTAGTGGTATATTTTTTGGGAACGACGACCGTGCCGGAAGTGCCGGAAAAAGTCTCCACCGGCCACGGCGAGCTCAGATTTTTCGAGGCTTTGACTTTGAATATGGGCCATTCGTTTCATGGGCCCTCAAATTTGAATATTCGGCCCATTTATATACTTAAAAATTAAATTTTTTAATGAGAATTATTTGGGAATTTTTAATGGTAAATTATATTTTTGAAAGAAAAAAAAAAAAAACTATTCGACTTTAAACCCACAATTTCTTATAAATAAATTATAATATATCTCTACGGAGATATATCTATATATATATATATATATATGAGAGTATTCAAATTTACTATTTTTAATAAAGAAAATAAGATAAAAAATGATTAAGCTAAAAATTTAAAATTTAGATATTCAAGTTTAAAATTTTTAATGAAATATTTCGTACCATTACGGTGTCGTTTCATTCCATTCAGATTCTCTGCCGCCTAAAATGTCGACTGGTTGGCCTTTTTCTCTTTTTAGTATTTCGTAGCGAGTAAATAGCACATGGACATCTTCGCCAAAAAATTTCTACTTATCTCTTCTTCTCTCTGAGTCTTCAACAATGGAGAAATCTGGTTATTGCAGCGATGGAATTTTCAGGTCCTTGAGGCCTCCTATTGCTTTCCCCACAGATCCTTATCTCTCCATGATCTCTTTCCTCTTCCGAAACTCATCTTCTTACCCAACCAAACCCGCTCTCATCGACGCCGATACCGGCGAGACTCTCTCTTTCTCTCAGCTCAAATCCCTCGTCATCAAACTCTCCCATGGATTTCTCCATCTGGGTATTAAAAAAAAAGACGTAGTTTTGATCTTCGCTCCCAACTCTCTCCAGTTCCCCATCTGTTTCCTCGCCGTCATCGCCGCCGGCGCCGTAGCCAGCACCGCCAACCCAGTTTCCACCGTCACTGAGCTCTCCAAACAAATCAAAGATTCCAACCCGAAACTCGTCATTACCGTGCCGGACTTATCCGACAAGGTGAAACACTTGAATCTCCCACTTCTCTTCTTGGGCGATCCTAAAAAAGCGGAACAGACTCGTCAAATCGAATCAAACCTAAGAATCCTCCATTTCCATGAGCTAATCAACTTATCCGGGTCAGTCGCAGATTTTCCATCAGTTTCCATCAAACAAACAGACGTTGCCGCGCTCATGTACTCATCGGGCACGACGGGAACAAGCAAGGGCGTCATATTGACCCACAAGAACTTCATCGCCGAGTCTCTAATGGTTTCCATGGATCAAGAACTCCGAGGAGATACCCATCTGGTGACACTGTGCGCATTGCCGATGTTTCATGTGACTGGGTTGTCGGTGATATTGTACTCGCATCTTCGAGTAGGGAATGTGGTGGTGGTGATGAGGAAGTTTGAGTTTGAGGGAATGTTGAGGAGTATAGAGAAGTATCGGGTTGAAAATATATCGGTTGTGCCGCCGATTGTTCTGGCTTTGGCAAAACAGAGTGTGGCGAAGAAGTATGATTTATCGTCGTTGAAGCGGATTGGATCAGGAGCGGCGCCACTGGGGAAGGATTTGCAGGAGGAGTGTGCGAAAAATCTTGGTGGTGGAGTCATGGTGGGACAGGTAAATCCATAAGCCCATTAGTGGAGTAGCTTTTTCTTTTTTGCTTGACATTATTGGAGTATAATTGCTTTAGTGTCTGTACACGTATCTATATATTCATATGTATATCAACAGGTGGAGAAAAATTAATTTCAAATATGCACGCAATCATAATGAAAAAAAATTTAAAAAGATACAAAATCGATCCCATTGAGATGTTTATGCTTACGAATAAGATCTAGAAATTTTTTTTTTTTACTATAATGAAAAATAAAAATACACAAAGTATTAAAATTTTTCAAAAATATTTTTAAAATATATAAGAATATTATCAAAATATATTTAAAATCAAAGCATATTAGCACCACATGATTTGCCATGGTAAGGTTAGCCCTAATAGTATTAGAAGTTGCAGATTCCCATGAGTTGCAGTGGCTTGTTTAGACTTAATTATGAGTGATCACCTTTTGAAGGTGAAAACTCCATAGTAATGCCTGAAACTAATTGACCCTTTACCCAAGATCATGTGTGTATATATCTTCTCCATATATATAAACTATATATGTATCATTTTAATATTGGTTTAAGGTTTTGGGTAATCAACATCGATTAATTATGTTCTTATTTTATTTCGAGTGCTGGATCAAATTTTGTATCTTTCTCTCTATTTTATCATCTGTTCATTTATTATTTTGACTCTCATTGAGTTCTGAATTGTATAAGTTTTGTCAATTCTTATGCTGATTTGCATTATCTTTACTTGTTTCTAAATGTTATTGTTTAAGTTTAAAAAAATTTACTTCTCATAAAAAGTGTTTTAACATATAAATAATGGATAAAAGCTATAAATTTGAAGTCTTTTGAATGCTGTACTTATATATGATTACATCAAGTTATTTATACAAGTTTTATATCATATATGGTTAAATTCAGGGCTATGGATTAACTGAAACATGTGGAGCAACTACATTAGAGGATTTAAGTACAGGTAAACGAAATACAGGTTCAGCAGGATCGCTTCTTTCAGAAGTTGAATGTCAAATTGTCAATCCAGAAACTCTGAAGCCTCTTCCTCCCAATCAATTGGGAGAAATTTGGTTTCGAGGTCCTAACATCATGCAGGGTTAGATTTGATTTAAATCAAAACTGTATATGAAACTACATAATAAAATTTATTAAAAAGTATAGATTTTTATTGAAGATCAGTTCTTCAGGGTACCATAATAATCCCGAAGCCACAAAGCAAACGATCGATGAAAAAGGATGGTTACACACAGGAGATCTTGGATATTTTAACGATGATGGGTGTCTTTTTGTTGTCGATCGACTCAAAGAACTCATCAAATACAAGGGTTTTCAGGTATACTTCCTATTGTTTATATCTATTTATATGAAACATTCATCTGATCATATACTTTTGTAAAATTTTACCAGGTTGCTCCAGCAGAGATTGAAGGATTGCTTGTTTCCCACCCTGAAATATTAGATGCGGTTGTCATCCCGTATGTTGGTTTTCTACAGAGAATTTAGAGATAATGATAAACATAAATGTCTACGTATATATATATGTGTGTGTGTGCATGATATATGAGGTTATTAATTTGTACCTTGTAGGTTTCCTGATCTTGAAGCTGGTGAAGTTCCAGTTGCATATGTTGTTCGTGCACCCAAGAGTTCATTGAGAGGAGTGGATGTTCAAAATTTCATAGCTAAACAGGTAATTATTTTTAGTTTTTTTCTTCAGTGGTAATTCTTTTTCTAATACGCATAACGTACGTACACACATACATACATATATGTGTGTGTATGTACGTATGTATATTGTATTGTGGGTTACAGGTATCCCCTTATAAGAGATTGCAGAAGGTGACATTTATTGAAAGTGTACCAAAATCAGTTTCTGGAAAAATTTTAAGAAGAGCTCTCATTAACCAAGTACGATCCAAAATATAAGTAATCTGAAACCTTAAAATTGTATGATTATAAATGTATGCATATGTAATATGTAGAGCTCTCAATTTATGTTAGTAGGATTTTAATTTTTAATATCTTTTAGTTTGATTATGCGATAGATATATATATATATATATATGTATATAAGTTTATAAAATACTAAATCATTTTTATAAGCTTTAGAATTAAAATATATATATATAAATGAAAACCAAAAATTTAATATTATTAAATCAAATATTACAAAATAACAATTTACATTTCTAATTAAGAAATTGCCATTCTGATTTCAAGGGAAATATGAAAATGATGGAGCAAAATAACTATTTCATTCCTATATATACACACGCGCACACATATATGTATATGTTATATATATATAGTTTCGTGAGCTACGGGTTCTCTCAGAAGAAATTGCAGGAAGTGACATTTATTGAAAGTAATACCAAAAATCAGCTTTTAGAAAAATCTTAAGAAGAGTTCTCGTTGAACAAGTAATATAATTATAGATGAGAAGTTTAACAGGAAGTATAATTATAGATGTATGCAAGTGTGTATGTAAAGATATAAGTATCTGTCCAATCATTTTTTAATTAAATAAAATTAAAATATATTATTAACATATAAAAACTATCTATCTTCTTAATTTCAATCTCAAAAAGTTGAATTATATTGAAAAAAGCTCGCATGGTTGAGCAAAATTACAAAAGTCTACTTATAATTTGAATACAATAATACCCTCATGCATTGGAGAGAAGATCTACCTAAAAAAGTTCAACCAAAAGATTATCTGAAGGAATCCATTTTTATCGACAAACAGAAAGTTTGTTTTTCTACATGAAAACAAAACTTGATTTCACGTTCCTAGACAGATAAGGTATGTACATACACTACACCTATGTATCTTTCTCCTCTGTTAAAAAACATGGAGCTTCATGATTCATGAACGATCAACATCGAGGCAAAGATGAGAACTTGATGAAAATAAGGAGGGGGGGAGGGGGTCGCTTTAGAAGTGAGATTGTAGGACTTTACAACTTCTACTTCCCTTTTTATTTTGATTTTCAAGAAGGGTTCTTCCTCATCCTCACAGGATAAGATTTCTCTGTTGCTCTCTGTCACTTTCCAATCAAGAATCGTTAATGGAGAGATCTGGGTATGGGAGAGATGGAATTTACAGGTCCTTAAGGCCTCCTCTTGTGCTTCCCAAAGACCCTAATCTCTCATTAGTCTCATTTCTCTTCAGAAACTCTTCCTCTTACCCGAACAAACCTGCCCTCATCGACGCCGATTCCGGCGAGTCTCTGTCTTTCTCCCAGTTCAAATCCACCGCCATCAAGCTCTCACATGGTTTTCTCCATCTGGGTATCAAGAAAAAAGACGTAGTTTTGATCTTCTCCCCTAATTCTATCCAGTTCCCTCTCTCCTTCCTCGGCGTCACTGCCATCGGCGCAATAGCCACCACCGTCAACCCTCTGTACACCGTCACTGAGCTTTCGAAACAAGTCAAAGATTCCAATCCGAAGCTTATTATAACCGTTCCTGAGTTATGGGATAAAGTCAAAGATTTCAAGCTGCCGGTTGTCTTCTTGGGTTCCAAAAATCCTAAGCAGATTCCCCATGTCGAATCAGATTCAAAAATCTATCATTTCCAAGATTTGCTTGAGTTATCTGGGTCTCCCTCCGGTTTTCCAGCTGTGGCTGTTAAGCAAACAGATGTTGCTGCGCTTTTATATTCATCGGGCACGACGGGGATTAGCAAAGGTGTCATATTGACTCACAAGAACTTCATTGCTGCATCTTTGATGATGACAATGGATCAGGAAATCCATGGAGATAAGCACCTGGTTTTCATGTGCGTCTTGCCCATGTTTCATATCTTTGGCTTATGCATTATCGTCTACTCGCAGCTGCAAAAGGGAAATGCTGTTGTGTCAATGAAAAAATTTGATCTTGATATGCTCTTGAGGACTGTGGAGAAGTATAAGGTGACGAATTTGTGGGTTGTGCCTCCGATTATACTTGCTCTTTCTAAGCAAAATGAAGTTAAGAAGTATGATATTTCTTCATTGAAGCAAATTGGGTCAGGGGCTGCACCTTTGGGGAAAGATTTGATGGAGGAGTGTGCAAGGAATGTTGGCCATGGGGTTGTTATGCAGGTAGTTTTCTCTTCTTGGCTTTCTGATTTTTCGAATTGTCAATTGCACATTCCAATCCAATCTTAAAATCATCTGTCTGTTTTTTATGCGGGTGTCTTGTCATATACTTAAATCTTCATTGAGCTGAATGTTTTTGTAGTGGGTCCTTCCTGTCAATTACAATGAGAAGCAGTGAGGTTTAGTTGTAGGATCCTGTTCATGTTAGTCTTTGGGGTGATAGAAGTGATGCTACTGGTCTTTTGTTATCAATTTACCAGATGAGCCATGGATTTAGCTTCTCATTCGCTGCTTGATCGGAAAATATGATTGATATTCCCATTTAGATAGAATTTGTCACGAGGATCGTAAAGAACACCTCACAAGTTGAAAGCTAAAACTTTGTAATTTTGTTACTCTGGAACTCGATTCTCACTTATATTGACTTTATCGCGAGGATCTTATTCTTTGCCGTTTGGATCCTTCTCTGAACGTGCTCGGCCACTTGTAGCTTCCTTTGGATAGCGCAAATTATGACCTCCAAGGCTTTAAGGGTCCAAGTCATGGTCTCCTTGGCTTGGCTGGTTTCTTAAATAGTTTAACCCGTCTGTACTCACATCAAGTTTCCTTCTGATTTGGGAGCTACCTGTGGTTTCAGGGATATGGAATGACTGAAACTTGTGGCATCATTTCACTGGAGAATCCAAGAATAGGTAAACTAAATACTGGTTCAGCAGGACGGCTTGTTGCAGGAGTTGAATCCCAAATAGTCAGTGTAGATACTCTAAAGCCTCTTCATCCGCATCAGTTGGGGGAAATATGGGTTCGAGGACCTAATATGATGCAAGGTATTGCCTGTTAACTTCTTGTCCTTTCATATTCATCTATAAGGTTCATGTTTAACATCATACTGCTAATACTAGCCTTCTCCCAGAGCGCCAGTGACGTGAAGTCATTGGCAGCCCAAAAAACGGGAGAAAGTTTGTATTACTCACCGGGAGGTTGAAGCTTCCCAAAAATTCTTATGCTAACAAAAGCATTACTATCTCTATGCAGAGTCTTTGTTGCCGAAACATAGCATATGGTTCTTTTGAACTTCAATGGAATTTATCTAAACTACTGGTCCTTAGCTCTTCTCTATTCAAATTAGAACATAAAAACATGTTTATCAGAATCCTAAGAGCATCCAATGATTTTACTTTTCCCTTATCCAAAATTACCATGGGTTTCATCAAGGTAATCACCCACAAGGTAAATCAGGAAGTTCGAATTTTGACTGATACAGGATCTAAACATATGATTTGCTAGCTCAATAAAGAGCAAAAGAAGTCTATTGCTTTTCTAAATTCTACACACATGTTAGACCCTTTTGATTTCTCTACGACGGTCTTATGTAGGTGACAAATAACAGTGGTGTTTCTAAAATTTCAGGATATTATAATAATCCCCAAGCCACGAAGCTGACTATCGATAAAAAAGGCTGGGTACACACTGGGGATCTTGGATACTTCAACGAGGATGGATACCTATTTGTTGTTGACAGAATTAAAGAGCTCATCAAATACAAAGGTTTTCAGGTAACCAAGGGTTGATGTATTGTTTTTAGTCACATTCAAGACTTTGAACTTGAGAGTATGTTACTTGACTGGAATTTCTACAATCAAGTCATCAAAAAGCTTTATGGAAAAATCTCATCGGCTTCATAAGTTCTTACCAGGTTGCACCGGCAGAACTTGAAGGATTGCTTGTTTCTCACCCAGAAATATTAGACGCAGTTGTCATTCCGTATGTCATGCAAGGCATTTACTACTTCCAATCACTTAAAACTCTGGGAAACTCATGCTTATTCTGATTATCCAAATGTGTCGTATAATTTTCACCTTGTAGGTTTCCTGATGCTGAAGCTGGTGAAGTTCCAGTTGCATACGTTGTCCGCTCGCCTTACAGCTCGTTGACAGAAGAAGATGTTCAGAATTTCATAGCTAAACAGGTAACTCCTCTGTTTTAGTACTTGCATGATATGTACGAATGTCAGATGCTTATATATGAATTGATCCCTGAATTCATCTCTTTTTTGGGTTACAGGTTGCCCCTTTCAAGAAATTACGAAGGGTTACATTCATAAATAGCGTGCCCAAATCAGCTTCTGGGAAAATCCTTAGACGATTGCTCATTGAGAAAGTCCAATCAAAAATATGAGCTTCTATATATATTAACTAAAATATTGACCACGAACCAAGTTTCTTCTCCGGTATTGTTTCTTATCACGACATCTTCTTGGGGTCGGAGGTACTCGATTAAGTATAATGCATATATAAGTAGGAAAGATATACACACACATGCTTTTGTTCTTGGCAATTCTCTATACATTGTAAAATAAGGGGAAGAACAGCAAGTGGAAATCTTGGTTCCTAATATCAAACAATTTCTCATGGTGAGTTCAGTCTCATCTTCAAACTTCTACCTGAGTAAATTTTTAAGTCATGGCTGGTGTGTTCTGTTACCTGTGTTCTGATCTTCATCTTTTGGGGTGGACATTGGCCGAGTCAATCAAAAGTGTCTTATCATTGATTTAAGCATGTCTTTATACTTATTTAAAAGTTTTTTTGGAAGCTTGTTAAGTAAACTGTTTTAATAATCACTTATCATAGTGTGATACCAACGATTTGTTAAAAAAAAATTAAGTCGGAATTTTTGCTTCATTGTGTTATTCTAACTAAGAGAATGTAATTTTCATAAAATATTTTCATTCGTCTGAATATAACACGATTTATTTGAACTAAACCTAATTTGATCATCGCAGTATTATCAACACACAACATAACTTGTTGGAACTAAATACAATTTGATCATTATAGTATCATCAATACACTAATAAGTTAATTCTTAGTTTCGCTAAATTAAGTAATATAAATTATTTATCAGTATAACGTACATAATACATATACAAATTTATAAGTTTTATGTTCTCAGTAAAATTTGAATTCGTAATTGTTAATTAAAATATAAAAATCTTAACTACTAAGTGAATGCATTGAAAATATATGATGATACACAATGTTAGATGTATTTTTTTTTAAGATTGCACATTAACACATTTGTTGCTCGTATATACCGAAATATTTTAACTATATATCTAAAATTTACAATAAGATCCATATGGGAAAGTTCCTATTTTATTTTATTTTAATACCCCCATAAACCCATGATAGCAATAAATAAATTATATAATATTTTAATAATTATTCCAATTTATGAGCTTTTCATAAAATTGTGAATACTTTGACATAAATAACATATGTAAATACTTTCTCTTTTCTTATATTTTATTTTCTATGTAGTTTTAAAATTATAATAACAGAAGATTTAGTGAACTTAATACAAACAATTACTTTATTTTCTGTAAGATATACATATTGATAATAATATTAACAAAGTAAAAGACTGAATAAACATTTTTTGAAATTTTTTTAAATATTTTTACTCCAAATTCAAGTAATTAAATAGAATAATAATATTTTTAAGTTATTGTTTATCACTGAAGTAAGGAAAAAAAAAGAATTTTTGTTAATTTTATAAAAAAAATAATTTAAAAATAAATTTTAATTATAACATTGTATATAATTCAAAGATTTAAGTTCAAATATCAAATTGTAATCAAGTCTATAATTTAAAGATTAAATTAATAATTTATTTCTTTTAAGGTAACTACTTATTCCTATGTACAGATAATTAAAAATCATATGTTTATTGGTCTATTCCAAAGATTAAGTAAGGTCAAATGCTTTGACAAAAGATGCAAGAGCTATCTCTGCAGCAAGCACTAATTACATATATATATATATATACATACATAACATAACATACAGTATTACAATACATAACATGTTCTGTTAATCGCTTGACCTAACGAGGCGGATTGAAAATAATTAGGCCAATTGCTTTTATTTGGAAGTAGCTTTATTCATTCAAGCAGTCTTTCTCACCACCAGGACGGGGCACTTGGCATGGTGAACACAGTAATTGCTGACACTTCCTAGAAAAACCCTGTTCAAACAAGTTTCATCTTCAGCATTTGAAGAATCAAATATGCTTCTCCACTATATATTCCTTGCAACAAGGCAAAACATTGTATTTTTTTGTTACCTAAATATTCATATAGAGCTTAGGAAAAATCTATAATGTCTCGAAGCCAAGACAATAGAGGCCAGGTTTTGACAATTGAAGTTTGTCAATGCCGAATTCAATTATGGGATACAAGAACTTTACTTGAGTCTCAATTTCATATAGTTCAAACATAAAACATTGTTAACTCGAAAGAGATGCCATTTAATATATAGACTTGGTAGACCTCTCAGACATTCAAGAAAAAGAAAAGTTGGTCATATATTTGAGGATAATAGGACTTGCTAATAGGAGGAAGTAAAAAGAGAAATTGTTCAACAAGCACATAAACTAACATAGGTCACCATTTCTCATGTGGGTCATGTTCGCGTGCAATGAAATTGACTCTAAGGACATGTTTGCTTCTTATATAAAGTCATGATGTTAGAGAAAATTGAACAATAGATATATAAACTAGTGTATGTTCTCATACTTGGTCGATGTGAGATTTAATCTTTTAACAAATAACGAATTGAAGTATGCAGGCGTCAAGACTCATTGATTACCTTTGTACAGCTCCTTTACCATGGCTGCCTATTATAAGCAGTTGGATATCAAGCTTCTCCACAGCTTCGCATATGGCATCTTTAGGATTTCCAGATTCTGTGATCGTCTCCGCAACAACCTGCAGAGAAGGAAACAATAGTATTTTTGCTGTATATATGTGATATTAAGTCAATTGTAAAGAAGGATGAATTAAATTATAAATAATAGATTGTACTGTTTCTCTATCTGCCTAATGAGATAATTACTTACACATTTCACAATTATCACCTAAAAAAAACTAAGAAATATAAATGTAAATCTTTTTGTTCTTCCTTTGAGTTGGAAGAGTGGAAAAATAAATGAAAATAGTTCTTGAAGGGTTTCTGAAAAAGATAAGCAAAAAAACTAATAATCAAATCGTGTAATCACAGTTTTATATGATTGTTGTTTCACTAATGGAATTATCATAAACAGAATAAAATATCAGCTAAGAAATATATACATACCCCACGATTGGCACAGATTTCCTTAGCTTTCTCTAGCAAAGCCAGTGCCACCTTCTTTTGATTTTCTTGCACAGACGCAATCAGATCCACAGCTGCTTCATCAGAAAATTGACACCATGATTTGGTCATTTAGAAGCTCCAAATCGCCCACCCAAAACAGAGTATAAGACCGAAAATGAAACAAGCTTGAAGACTGATCACTTTACTCTCATAGAGTTCGATGAGAATATTTGAGAGAACTAAACAAAATCAATATAACACCTCACATGTGCGTGTATACATAGCTAGATTTCATCAAATTCCCATAAATTAGATTCAAAACTATACGAAACAAGAACAATACCTAACATTGAAATCGAAACAAACACGATTCCTAACATTGAAATCGAAACAAGCAAAATTCCTAACCGCGTGTAATGGATTCGATAAAAATTCGGTACATGCATGCATTTGTGTGTGCAGATATATGCGTATATAGCAACGATTTGATCAAATGCCTAAAAATTAGAGGAAGGGAAGAGGAGAGCACTCACGAGCGGCACCATAAGTGGAAGCATAAACGTAGCCGAACTCAACAAGGGGCTGCACAGTGAGTAGAATAAGTTTAGAAGTGGCGATTGTATCTCCCAGAAAGTCAAGCGCCCATTGCAGAGCGTAGTGACTGCACTCGCTCTCGTCTATCGCCACCATCACCTTCTTCCCCTCGCCGCTCTTTCCCTCTTCCATTATTACTTCTTGTCTTCTTCTCTGCTTAAACCGTTTTCAAGTCGATCCGGAGTGCCGTGTTATATAAAATCAAGAAACGCAGTACGGTTTATCTGGCAGTTTCTCTCGGTTTCCGGATTCTGGTGTGCAGAACTGGTTAGTGCCAAATGTCTCGTGATCAGGTGCTTCGCGGACTTACAGTATCAAAACGGTGTCGTTTCGATGCCATTCCGGGTCTTTCATCGCGGGGCACGTGATTCGTCGGTGACACTACTCTCCACAAACAATTAAAATCGCTAAAATAAATGTAATTAAATATTTATATTATATAAATTTTATTTTAATATATATATAATTAAAAGCCCTGGAAGAAATTAAAATTATTTTATTCATAAAGGGGATAATTGTATTAACCATCACTTCATATATAATAACTTTACAAAAATATTCAATTTTTCCAAGCTGTAATTTATTTGATTTGAAGCTAACCGAAATTAAAAAGATAAAATTCAGAAATATGTAAATAATTAATTAATTAATTAACAAAGTTTGGTTATTGCATAAAGTACACATTCTTAATTTTTTTTTTTTACAAATTAAGGGGTAAATGTGTAATTAGGAAAGAGTAGCTGCCATAGTGTTGGCGGTGCCGTGAGTCCATGAGAGTCCTGCAACTGACGGAACTGACGGAGTTTGGATATTGCGTCTGATGGAATTCGAACGGGACGGTAATCTTCATCCAGCCAAACTGCTGTACCCTTTGCTTCCAGAACAGGCTGTCACGTTAATTTTTCATTAAACATACTAATTAATTAATTAATTAATTAATTAATATTTAGAATTTGATATTTATTAATAATATGATTAATGAAAGAGAAAAGAAACAGACCTCTTGATTTGGGAGCTTGAAGATCAAGTGCTCGAAGTAGAGTCGGACACTGGAGAAACCAGTGATTCTCACCTTCACAACAAATCTATCTCCACTCTGCAAATCGCAATATAACAACAGTTAGTCTATATATATATATATATACGTATATATTGTATATATTGTATCAATTCACAGACAGAGATAAGAGCATACTCGCAAGGGAGAAAGGTACTTGAACGACAGTTCGGATACAGCCAATGCGCCACCGGACCGGGCAACTTCATCGCAGCTTACGCCAATTCTCTCAGAGAATTCATGTCGACCTAGTTGATTAATTAACATTAATTAATCCCAAATTAAATTTTATTCATCTGATCATTATTATATATATATATATATGTATATAAGACTCACCATGTTGGCAATAACTGGAATAAACAGCATTGTTAACAACACCAAACTGGTCAAGCTCATAGTCCCGAACCTTGAGCTCAACTTCATGGAATCTCGTACTGAATCTGCATGTATACATACAATTCGTTTCAATGGAAAAGGGGGAAGGAAGAAAAGAAAGAATTAAATATCACAACTTTTGAAACATCAAAATTAAAAAATTTACTCTTTACACTAATCTTTATACATGTTCATAATATTGTTACATTTAAATTACTATCACGTATAATATATTCTCTAACTTAGTTATTTAAATTCGGCTTTAAAGAGTAGTATTAATACCCTTTGCCCCCTCCTGGAGGATGAAGAAGAATTGAGTGTATGTCCGAATGCCTCGCGGTAAT